CCCCAAAACCCCAAAACCCCAAAACCCCACGTCATCAATCAATCATTATTAATGAATATCATTAAATAATTATCAATTTCAAGTAATAATATTCTATATCAGGTAGAAACATATACACTCTAGATGGATTACGCAATAAACATAATTGAAGCAAAGGAAGAATTATTGAATAAAAATAACTAAATTGAAGGAGAAAACAAGTCAGATGAACATATGTTTTCTGAACCTATGAAAAAATTAAGTACTCGTTTTTCAGCACCAGATTGGAAACCAAGCTCATTTTAGAAATAAACTAGCAATACTATTGTAACTTTAGAGAGAAGTTATCATCCATCTACTTCGAATGATAACAATAATGGCTATTTGATGCCGATACCATAAGATAAGAATTTGATGATATTAAATAGTGCTAAGAATTTCAATTAATAAAATTCCAACTCAAACTAAATATCTGACTCTAAAAGCACCATCTCATTTGGAAATACAACTAACATAAGCAAACTAGGAAGCTTCGGGAATTTCAGTGAAAGCACTTTTAACAATAACAACAAATTTCATAATATAGGAGCTGAAAGTGTGAATGGAACTGCTGGAGCTAGGAATCATTATTCTTTTCTAAACCAATAAAGCCAAGAGGAACTCTAAAATTTCATTAAAAAAATGTTCAGCTTCTACTCCTTCCAAAAAATTTTTGTTGCACTTTGGCTAATAATTATTTACAATAGTGCCCAGTTAACTTAAATAATTAAAGGAAGCTTTTATTTATTCGCAATCGCCGTTTTCATTTATATGGCTATTCTCATGATGGTGCAGAATAAAAATGATTTCATAATGAAATCTCCTTATAGTAGTATCTGCTTCTTACTTTTTACTATTTCTGAGTGCTTTATAGTTTCATTCTTACTGTCAACAGCTCATGGTACTACAGTCTTCTTATTCGCACAATATCTTACTGGCATAGTTTTAGCAATAACTATCTTTCTCAATACTAATAATATCAGCTGGTTTAGAGGTATTGCAGCAACATTACTGATGCTAATCTTCATGTTCATTCTTTCTATATCGACTCTAAATTAAGATTACACTGATATGACTGCAATTCTCATTTGTATGTTAGGAGGACTTATGTTCGGAATATATTTACTAACCAAAGCTTTCTAGATATTAAATCATAGGTATTCTCATGATTTAACTATAGATGATTATGTAATTGGGAGTATGACCATTTATTTAGACTTTGGATTCGTACTATTGGTAATCATGTTTGCAATGCTTCTAGCAATCAAGGAATTTTCCTTTTGATTGAAGAAAATGGAAGGGATTTGTTCAATATGAATTATTTTGCTTACTTAATCATTAAAAATTTCTTTAGTTTAATAGCTAAATCAAGCATTATGGGGTTTTGGGGTTTTGGGGTTTTGGGG